TGATTCACGAGTATCTTTCGCAAACAAAAGCAGCATTTTTGTATTCTTTAATTGATCCGGACCCATGCACGCTGGGTGCGGACAACAATGTGCTTTACTCCCCTCTAAGCCTCAGATGTTGTGATCTGCTCTGATTATTAGTAAGCAGCTTAATTCTGGCGGGTAGAAGTCCAGTATTTCACAATACAAGGTGGAGAGGTTTTTGGATTAGATGGGTGCAATGCAACGAGAACATCCACGAATTTGGGAATCTTCCAGGTGATGAAAAAGTAATTTGCTTGGGGCATACTGATACAGGCTGGCACTCTTTGACCTGTTGGCTGTTTACAGCAGTTTCTCTTACAGAATGATGATTTTAAAGGATGAGTCGGCCTTATAACAATTAGATCTCTCCTTTGTATTTTTTGACCATCGTTTCTAACTGTGTACTGCACCACGCAACATAGAAAAAGAGCTAAAAAGGATGTCGTACAGGAGAAATGTGTGTGGGTTCCCAGAAGTTACTACTAAATATTGTTATCATAACTAAAATGATGGCCCTACTAGAATTAGACAGGACAAAAATAAAAGTCAAACTGTATATTTATGGCTTTAGCAGTTGGTGGCAGGGTGACCTCAGACTGACCATGTGCTCCACTGAAGTGTGAAGTGAAGAGACACTGAAGCTCTCACGGTGCTGTTCTGTACCTGAACCCTGACCTGCTGGAGGAGGAGGAGAACAAGTTTCCCCACAGGGATCAATGAAGCATAACCTTAATTAGACTATAGATGAACACATCTGTTATAAAAGCCAGAAATAATGACCAAGGCTCCATTTTATGGAGGCAAGCCTGGTGTGGAGTGTAGTTAATCCTACGGCTATATTTCATTCCCAGCTGAACGGCTTCATATTGGCAGAACAGGTGTCTCCCTCTCATTCTCTTTCTCGTTGTACAGTAACTGATCTGTAGAGGGAGTGTACACAGTGTAAGGTTACAAAAAAGTACGACTTTGATCCATAAGGCTTAGTGGTGTGTGTGTGTGTGTGTGTGTGTGTGTGTGTGTGTGTGTGTGTGTGTGTGTGTGTGTGTGTGTGTGTGTGTGTGTGTGTGTGTGTGTGTGTGAATGAGAATGAGTAAAGGTTTGGTTTCAGACGGTAACATGATACAATTGGTTGTCATGCTTTCCATGATGATGGTAGTTTTACAAAAAAGATAGTGCTTTATTATCAACTAACTCTACTTAGATACATTGGTTAGTTCATAGTTAATGTTGTGTAACATAGGATTTTTGAATGTCCCTTATTTCCCTTGCTTTACATGTTTCAATATATCTCCTTGTTTTGTTGTTATTAATTGTATTAATTTTTACATTTCTATGGAAGCTGACAGCAGCCGTGCTTTCAATTATTATTATTTTTATGCCGTTATCTCAAGATCACGACAAGTTGACTTGTGATCAAGTAATCTTGAAAGCTGAAATCAGGTGTGATCATACAAACTGGACATTCACTTTTGAATTCTCCATAAATATCCCATGATCTTGAAAAAACAAGTCATTTTCTTGTGATGAACCTTACGCATTAAAAACTAAAAAATTGGCTGTTCTCGGCTTCCGTACATTTTTGACATTGCAACAACGTTCAGAAGTTTAATTTTGTTTGGATATAGTCTGCTAATATGTAGTAAAAAATGACATTTGAAAAAAACAAACTCAAATGAAAACCATAGTAATAAATGAACATGAACCACAGTTAAGGGAAACAACCTCTGCAAGCTGATCATTATTATTTCATTATTTTCTGTAAACCAATATCCTATGAATTCCATCCTCTTGAATGTGTTTTTATTAAGTGCAGTTTTCTGATACCCCTCTGGCTGGGATCAACATATGTGTAATTGTGTGTGTCTGTGTGTGTGTGTGTGTGTGTGTGAGGTGCTTGAGTTCAGCCCAGATGCCGTAGCCTGTCGATGGCCGGTGGCTGTTTATTAATGGATGGGATGGAGTGTGTATTGGGCGCCCTCCAAGAATCAAAGGAGAGTCTGAAAGTACACGCCAGTGCATTTATCTGCCTCACTGCTCCTAATGCCCTGTCCGGCGGCAGTCAAACACTTCTACAGTGTTATAGCTGTCACTGCATTTTCATAAGCAGATGGGTGGCTATAAAGCGAGGTGGCGTGTTGGAGACGAGAGCATTGTGTTAGACTCTGGACAAAAACTAGCCTGTCCCTCTTTCTTCTTATTTGTCAAAAGCCGTTTTCCTACCCAGTTTACCTCCATATATATGTGTGACATCTGTGTTTCTGTGAAACGTTCAAGGGCAGTCAGGATGATCTCGCACACCAGTTTTCTACTCCAAATCTTAGTGACAATTAGCAGTTAAATTTACGGTGGCCATGAGAGCTCAACATACTGCAACTTAAAAAAACATAGCACAAGCAAATTTAGCATTTTAGAAAAATGCAACCAAATACAGAAACACTGCAAGTAGCACAGAGACAACAGAAACTGTTTCCAGGGGACACTAAAAAGTGATGCAAATGCTTGAAACTCATTTTCCAACACCACTTATGAATAACTAACTTCATTAACTGCATGTGTCTCAAACCACTGAACAGCAACAGGCATGTCCCAGCCATGTGCAGCACTTGTTAGTGTCCCTGGAAACAGTTTTCTCACTTTGGTAAAGATGTTTTCCTGATTTGGTTTATTTGACATCTCGAATTATATATACACTGTCAAATACATTATCTTTCAATTAAACTGAAATATCAAAAGTAAAAGAGCACTGACAGTGAAGAGTAGGACTGTAACTGAAGGATGAAAAGTATAAGAACCACAGAAGGAACTATATAAGGAAGTACAGAGAGGCAGACTAATGAAGGAAGAAAAAGAAAGAAGCAGTAATTCATTTTTTTAAATGTTGATCTACAAAGTAACTTTATCCATCAGATAAATGTATTGGAGGAAAAATGACATTTAATCCACCTGAAATGTAGTGGATATACTCAAGTTAAGTACCAGCACGTCAAAGTCCAGTACTTAAGTAAATATACACTTATTTGCTTTCCACCTCTGCCCTCCACCTCCTGCTCCAACCTTTCCTAAATCCCTTCTTCTCCAACTGAGTCTCGTCTGCATGACCGCAGCACTTCCATTAAGCCCATTAATCCTGTTCAGACAGCCCACTCTCGCAGTGTCCCCTCTGACTGTCCACTGTCCGCTGTGTCCACAGGTCCAACAACACCCACCCACACACCTGCTAGCCCACTCAGCGCTCCTTCGTGTCAGAGCGACATACATTATCTGATGTCAGCATACATTATGCAGGAGGCAGATGAGTGCCGTTAATGCATATTAGTGGCATCATTTAGAATAAATTGGCTCTCAGTGCTTCGTGGTGGTGCTGCAGCTGTAGAATATTTTACTGTGGGCTTTTCTCAGGAATGTCCCAAGGTCTATTTTACAATTTATATATTTATTCAAGATAGATAGAGCCTGACTGATATAGTGATCAGTGTTATGTCCTGATCTTATCATACCTCAGATAAACTGTATCAGTATTGTCATATATGTTGGTAGATGATAAGAAATTGTTATGTATAATTGACCCTTATTTTCTTAATATTAAGTTTCATTTATATTATATATATTATTTGTAATAATGTATTAATTCTTAAGTTCAGTTATAATATTATATGACTTATATTTTACTGTCATATTTGATGGTAAGGTTGACTGTTTAACTGTAAAATATTTTACTTTAGTACTTGATACTGGATTTTTGAGGCTGATACTGATATCTGAGGATTTCTAATGATACATTGAACATTTGCCTGACAAACACAAAACCAAAACAAACATTTCTCAGAAATTTTGTCATAGAAGAATTAAATAAAAATAATGTTGATTATTATTTGATGATACCTTTTTTAAAAATGTTTTTATCAGTGTATTAGTCAGGCTCTACTCGCTACTTTATAACAACTAAATTTGATGGTATCTTCATCAAAAATGTTTGTTTATCTTGCATTTATATAAAGACAGAAGAAAACAAAAGAAAGAACTAAATATTGTTCTAATATTGTATTTTTTTATTTTTTTATTTCAAATATCAGCATGACCCTTAAAATCCAGTGTGGGTTTGGGCTCTCAGATCAACACAGTATGCACTGTAGAGAATGGTGTGTTAACGAGTGGAGGGTCTAATTAACTGCCTGTCTGAATGTTTTTCTGTGTGAAAACCTGTCGTGTGTCTCATTTTTCTTGGGGTAGTTTGATCTGTCACTGTCTCTCCAGGTCTCTATCCCTCTGTTCTTTGCTCAAACTAGATCTTTTTTGTTCCTTTTTTTACAATGCATTGCATATTCAGAAGAGGCAGCATGTAGGTATCTTAAAACGACACGCACCTCCCTGGCTGCATGAATCATCCTTTTACTTTCTACTTATCTTTTGTGTTTTTTCTTTAATTTCTTTAGCTTTTGACTTCTTTCTGAGTTCTGCTTTTTGGTGTTTTCCCCCTGTTCTGTTGTAGCACAGCATATGTCTTAGTGCAAAGATGAAATACTTGATTTATAAAGATTTTCTTTTATCATGCTGTTCCTGTGTGTTTATTAGCAGTAGTGTTGTAAGCTCTTGGTAATATGAAAAACCATTGGTTTCAATATTTAAAATATTCAGTAGATTTCTTGATTAACTCTTTGATTTTTCATTCATTCTGTCCGTGCTGCATATTTCTGTAACGTTCTTTTGATTTCGTCACTGTTACGAGTTTCGTCTGCTTCGTCAGTATCATGACAGGTGTTTCATCTTGTCCATTGCCCCCTCCTCCTCCTCCCTCGACACCACACACCTGTCTCTCATCTGTTCTGTGTGGCTGCATGGTCTCTTTTTGCACGATGTATGTAGCTTTCACAGACATTGGAAAGATTTAATATCACTCTTCTCTTTTCTCTCTCCACCCCCACCTCCCCTCCCTCTTTTTGTTTATTGTCTTTCTTTTCTTTGTCTTCTCTCTGCAGGGGAGGTGCTCTTTCAGATGGCTGAAGTGCACAGACAGATCCAGATCCAGCTTGAAGAGATGGTGAGCATGTGGTGATGGTGGTGGTGGTGTTTCTAAAATCAGCACTTCATAAGCCACGAGTTGGGAACCAGACAGATTGTGGGCCTGTTGGTTTGGAGTCCCCCACATCACAATATATATTTTAATATTTAATACTAGCAAGACACGCTGTTTACACTTTTTTTGCCCTGGCAGCTTTTAGTTTACTTCAATTTTAAAGGCAGCAGCTTCTCTTAAAGTATGGTTTGTTTTCTGATCTTCTGATATGTAAATTACAGCAATTACAGACTGAAAACATTGTTCAATTCAGTTCCCCAAAAGATCTGTATTTAAATCTTCCAAAGAGTAAATTGGCCAATTGTGGCAACATTCAGTCAAGCAGTCTTGCTTTAATCTTTATGCAAAGTGTGTTATTTTAAATTGTATGTCGTCTCATTCTTTTGGGTAGTGGATGTCAAAGATCCAAGGCAGTGATGATGTTTTTGTATAACAGTACAAATTAGGCACTGAGCAGATGCTTATCTCTTATTCAGAGAGATTGAGAATTAATGCAAAATATTCTAACTTTTGTAACACAGTTCAGACCTTGCTCCTCACTGAGACCCATCAACTGTTTTGGCTCAATTTCAAGGATGAACTCAATCTTCTTTGCAATCTAAACAGTGTGCAGTTCCTGCTTTTTCAGCAAATATCCTGCTGATAGTAATTTAAGAAACTGTTGTGTCTCCCAACATGGATGATAAGAGGGAAACAAAGACAGTGAGAGGTCACTAAGTGCGACAAGAGATGCACGTTCTGTGGGTCTTGGAGATGTCTTATGTTTTCAAGTGTATATATATATATATATATCATTCTCTATTTCACTGATATTTCACCACTGACTCATCTTTGCTTGCTCACCCTCACAAACACTCTCACACACACACTCACTCACTCACTCACTCACTCTCTCACACACACACACACACACACACACACACACAGGCGTAACATGCACAGAGACAGCAAATTGACTTTGGCATGCATTTACATACCAGACATCCTTCCTTAATCCTTTGGGTGTGACATTTCCGATGGCAACACAAATGCATCCCTTCAAGTCATTCTTGCACCACAACACTGCGACATTGCATTCCTTTTTGGAAAGAATCCACTGTGGTTGTGCATGTAAGTACTTGAGGTTTAGTGAATTTGTATTTGTGTTGCATTGTTTTTTGTTTTCCTGTGTTTTCCAGCTGAAGTCTTTCCACAACGAGCTGCTCACAGAACTGGAGAAGAAGGTCGAGTTGGATGCACGCTACCTGAATGTGAGATTTCCTTATTGATTTACAGTTATGTAGTGACAATGTCCTACCTCCTTATTAAGCTAGAGCCTGTGTGTACAGAGACAAACCAAAAAATGATCACCCAACTCTGCAGCTCTACCTAGTCTTTTAGCCTATTTTAGCTCATTGATTTGGTTTTACACCACATATACTGTTTAGTTCAGTCTCAGCACTCTCATCAACCTCATTTCCAGCAACAGCAGGCAGCCATTTCAGCAAACAAGCTCTGATAAACCCACTATTTACTAGACGCCCAGTACCAAACAACAGGCAGTCAGAGTTAAGGGACTAGCTGAAGTAGGGGAAACATCTTGTTGCAAAACCAAATCAGAGCTGAAAGCAAAATGACAATTATTTGATGTAAGATGTTTAGGAATAATACCTGTATAAGGTGTTAATACTGTATCAGTATGTGTGTCTGTCAGTTCGTTGTGGAGTTCTTGGGGATGCAGATATACAATATGCCAATATTTCATGTCGGCCGATGTCGACACATGCACATATTTTCTTCCACCTAATTGCAGAGAATGTTAAGTCTCTCTTGTAGTGGAATTAACATATTATTATGCCCGCTCTTGTCGTAATGGCCCACTGGCAAGTGCAGACACAAAATACATTGCTTTTGAAAATGTACACATTCACTGGGCAGAATAAGACAACTACAGGTTTCTTTTATCATAATTTCAATTCAATTCAATTTTATTTGTATAGCGCCAATTCATAACAGAAGTTATCTCAGGACACTTTTCAAATAGAGCAGGTCTAGACCGAACTCTTTAAAACATTAATTACAGAGACCCAACAGTACCACCATGAGCAAGCACTTGGCGACAAGGGCAAGGAAACACTGCCAGTTAAAAGGCAGAAACCTAGGACAGATCCTCCGGCTCTAGGTGGGTGGTCGTCTGTCTCGACCAGTTGGGGTGGGGGGGAGAGAGAGAGGAGAGAGAGAGAGAGCGAGAGACAGAGGCACAGACAACAGTATTGGTAATGGCAATCTAGCAGGACCATGGCAGGAGGCTACAGCAGGATCGACAAGAACCTGCGAGACGAGAAAGCACAAGAACTCCGGGGAAGAAGTGAAGTTAGTAACATGCATTAATGGGACATGAGTGAGTGCAGAAAGAGAGAGGAAGAGAGGAGCTCAGTGCACCATGGGAAATCCCCGATAGTCTAGGCCTATAGCAGCATAACTAGGGGATGGTTCAGGACTCACCTGATTCAGCCCTAACTATAAGCTTTATCAAAGAGGAATGTCTTAAGCCTACTCTTGAATGTGGAGAGGGTGTCTGCCTCCTGAACCACAACTGGAAGCTGGTTCCACAGGGAGGAGCTTGGTAACTGAAGGCTCTGGCTCCTGTTCTACTTTTAGAGACTATAGGAACCACAAGTAGCCCAGCATTCAGAGAACGTAGTTTTCTAGAGGGGTAATAGGGTACTATGAGCTCTTTATGATGATGATAATGATCAGGATGACGGCTTTTAAGAGGGGCAGTTTAATTTGTAGTGTCGAAGGGTTGAGATTTGACTCCTTCTTGCCCGACCAACGCTGAGCAATCATTGCAAATAGTAACTTTGATATTCATTTCGGACACTTCAAATAACCGTCATGCTGCAGACATACTCGCAGTGCTTGTGCATAATAAAAGTGGGATCTTATTGGACTGTCAAATTGGCAGAAATTTTCATCTTCAACTACATTGAACAATGAAAGCTAACAGAACAGATGCTAGCCTGGAACTGGACTTCAGTTATCTATAATATGTTTAATATCTAACTCTATCATTGTTGCTCAGCAATTTTTCTCATGAATGTTCCACCTTTTATACTGTGGTGAGGCTGGAAGTGATTTAATTATATATTTTTAGGCCCCACTCGTCTTTTTCATCCTTACCGTAAAGAAGAAAAACTACAAATCCAACTTAAAGTGTTAATTGACTGACCTGTTTTTTTAAAGAATATTCACACGGCATCATATTCTGATTCATTATGTAACCACGTACTTGAATGAAACACCACTTTTAACTCTGGTCCACATCAGTTAGGTCTCTCCAGTGAGTGAGGTTATGGGGAATACAGTATGAACCATGTTCTCATAAAATCGTTGGCCAGAGACAAAATGCACACTCTCTCTTTAATTTCCCACCGGCTTTCATCCAAACCACTGCAGCAAGTTACATAAATTACTTCCCACTTCCCTGTGAATTATGACTCATTCTGTGAAAATGAGTTGTTTTGCAAAAAAAAAAAATAATAATTTACGATGATCAGTAGTTTGGAATCTCTTCCAAAAACATTTCATCCTTTGAGACAGGGGATGTACCGGGCTTTTCATTCTGATCATTACAGTCAGAAATTCTCATGTTTTAGAATGCAAATCAGCTATAGAGCCATTTAATGACCTCATGTTTTATATTTGATTTGCATATTTCTTTACGTTGTATTTGTCCCATACTACGCAGAAATAGGGTACATTTAAATCTGCAATAACTGATTTGTTGACATATGACCATTTAAGTTGATATGGCAAATGTGCAGACAATTGCTTATTTTTACATCCAGCAGACACAGAACAACATTATCATTCCTTTAGCTCTCTTTTTGGTCTCTACCAACTCCTGAAGAAAATTACTGACTCTTACCTGCTAAATGCTCCACTATGTTCACCAGCTAACGTTGTCTGTCTGGTGTTGGCCAGGTAGAGGTCCAGTGGGGTTTTAGAGCTTTTTTGCTATAAAAATGCATCATGAAAGCAGAGAGTGAACCAGAACAGTACATTTATGGACCGGACAGCTAAACGATGAGCTGAAACTATGTAAAGCAGAGCAACCCTGTTCACATTGTCATGTTAAGGATTTACTCCTTAATTTTGATTTTATAATGCATATATACATTTTTGGGCGCACACATACCAAATTTGGGGATTTAAAAAAAAAACAACCCCAAAAAATTTGGCCCCCCCCCCCCTTTTTTTTTTTTATTGATTTCACCTGATTTAACACATATTACACTTTGGGAGAAATACACCAGATTTTAAGATTTTTGGTGACTGTACACAATTTTGGCATCCAGTGAATTTTATCCGGACTCTGCCAAATCCAAAGTATAAAACTGTTATTGGTAGAGCACCAACAATTAATCAGGGGCACTGTAAACAAAATTCGCCATGGGCTTGGGCCAGCCCTGGTATAGTAACGCCTGCTCTAGATAGAGAGGACAGACAAAAGAACACACAAAAGAAGAAACAGCTGAAAAGGAGGAGGAGAAATCCAATCCAATCCAATCCAACTTTATTTGTTAAGCACTTTAAAAACAACCAAAGTTGACCAAAGTGCTGTACAGGAGAATAAATAGGACATAATAAATGTAAACAGTGATGGTGATGATGAAGACCACTGTGAGGAATATAGACAGTGATGGTGATGATGAAGACCACTGTGAGGAATATAGACAGTGATGGTGATATAATAACCAATACATCACGATCCTCCCTCACTTCTCCACTCCCCATTCTTCACAAGTCAGGCAGTAATACAGAAGCTGACTACTTGTCACGGCAGTTTGAAATGAATGTATGTCAGTGTAAAATATCATCTGTGGAGGCTGACACATGTGAGCAATGCCGTGCCCCTGCTGACTTTGTGCTGCCCCCCTCAGGCTGCGCTGAAGAAGTACCAGATGGAGCACAAGAGCAAAGGGGAGAGTTTGGAGAAGTGCCAGGCAGAGCTGAAGAAACTGCGCAGGAAGAGCCAGGGCAGCAAGCACCCCTCCAAATATGGAGACAAGGAGATGCAGGTCAGTCTGTCTGTGTGTGTGAGTGTGGATGCGTCCCACAGTTCATGAAAATGTCTTTTGCAGGAGACTGAAGTGTCAGATGTTTTGAGTGGTGCAAACTATAGTTTCTGGTGCTTTTTTGGTTAAGTGAAGCTTTTTCTATGGATCAATGAGGAATCAAACAGATGTCCTGGCGGTGTGGCTCATTGAGGATCCTTGTGGCCAGCTGGAAGACCAATGTATAAAGCGCATGACAACATGGTTATAACAGCCAGTGCCAAGAAAATATGATCCTATTGGCTTCAGCCCAGTATGTGGCGCAGACAAACCTGCCAGTCAGCCTCAAGAGAAGACATTAGCTTCTCATAATTTATTTTCAGCAAAGTTAGAATTAGAATCACCAACGCAGACTTTAAGTGAACTCATGCTGACTCTTCAGTGTGCCACAGACTCTACTTCTCGTAGTGTTGGCTCTCGAATGCTTCTCCCTCCTCTTGATGGGATTTGAGCTTCAGTGCGCCTGGTAATCCATGACTGCTGCCGGTGCTGATGGGATATGGCATGCTGAGCTGAATGGGATGGGACCCCCGACTGGGCACACGCAGTTTGGGTGCCAGTCTGAAAGGCTCTTCACAGTGAGAGGAATTGAGATAGCAAAGGTTACGACTTGAACCCACTGTGTCAAACACTCTCACACACACAGCATAATAGTGAAATTCAAATGTTCCTCAATTTCTGAGGACCACCTGGAACACCCTCAAGGACCCCTGGAGGTCCCTGGACCTCAGGTTGAGAAACACTGGTATAGGGACAACTCCTGTGGCCCTCATCAAGGTCATCAAACAACACAAAGTATATTATCAAGAATTATCTAAAGAAAATGACCACAACTAATCACAATTAAATTACTAGAGTTTTTACAAATAAATCTATGCTCATGTTGTTTTAGATCTAACAAATTACTGAAATGGTCAGGTGACAGATGTTACAAAATTTGGATTCCATTGTTTTATAAAGGAAATACTTCTAAAAATGTATTCTGTAGAACCAAAGAAGACAACAAAAGAACAAGAGGATATTTTAACAGAGTTACAGAGTAAATGTAATGAAACTTGGATCAAACATTGCTAAAGTGCTCCCATAACTTTCACTGTTTACATCAGTTTCATTAGTTGCTGCACTTTGTCAGTATTACATAATATTTGTTTATGATGTCTAGGGCAGGTGGCTGGGTTGAGCTACTTGAGCGGAGGCGTTAGGAGACGGTGCGAGTCTCTTTGCCCCTGTCTGTAGGTGTTGTGGTGACACATGGTGGGCGTGCCCTCTTACACAACCTGCGCAGGAGATGCTGCAGCTGTGATGTGCCGTCTGTCCAATCAGCTGCTGCTCAGCACAGTGAGAGGCTGAGAGACGAGGGAGACAAAGGAGAGGGTGATGGGGAGTTTTGTGTGTTTAAATCTTTATGGTGTGTGTGGTCACTTATGAGGTGACAGTAATGAGCTTTAATCTGTATATGAGGAAAGATATTCAGTATGTCCACAGCTGAACTGTCCACCTGTTCAAATGTCACACACACAAGTTCTTCTCTTCTTCAGCGGGTATGGGCCGACAGGATGAATACACTGGCTATCTGCTGTGGCTGATGGACTTTTTTTGTTATATTTCTACCCGGTCAGCACTTAAACTGTCAAATGTGATGCAAATAATTAAACTCACAATGGAACAGGGGGAAAAAGGGGGCTTCATCCACTGACAGCCTGTCTGAACAATGTTGTACACAGCAAAAAATGTACTCACCTGCAGCTCTTTTCAGCAGACGACATATGGGAATGCAGTACATTATGTTTAAAAAGTTTCTAATCCAGAAATAAACTGCAGTTCATTATTTTATCACGTCGGCTGTTGGTTGAAGGGGTGACAGTGGCAAACAGGACATTTTGTCCCTATCGTCCAATCCTCGAAAATAACTTGTTATTGTGTCAGTGGATACACCTGGATTCATGTTTAGATTACTAATGCTTTTTAGCCATTTTAGCTAAATGTGACAGTTAATTTGTGGAGGGTATGACATGTTACAAAGGTCCACGTCCAATTCGAACCAGGGACAAATCAGTTACACACTATGCATTTTAGACTACTAGTGCTTCAGGAGCTTTCAAAACCAGGATGTGTTTGAGAAGTAATAAATGTCTGCTGTTACTTTGTAATCTATGTGACATTCAGTATTATATTCACAACAGTAAAATTACATATGCGTTTGAATTAATTGAAATGAATGCGCTGTCAACTGCAATGAGCTGTCAATCATCTGTCTGCGCTCCGCAGCTCAGTCCATGTGACGTATATTCACGTGGCACTGAGAATTGTGGGTCATAATAGCTGGCTTGCATACTGCGTAATGCTGTAGGACATCCTGGTGTTTATGGCAAACTGCATTCGACATACTATGTATTGGGACATACTAAATAGTTTTTTTCTGGCATACTTAATAGTATAGTAGTATGAGTATTGGAATGCACCCCGTATGTTTGAACTTGTCATGGCAGTGCAGAGAAAACATGGAGTCAGAGGTTAAGGGCTAATTGTGCAGCACTTCCAGAGGCTGAGGCAGTCGCCCCACACGGCTCTGTAGGAGCAGCAGGGGAGGTAATTATTGTGTAATTGTTAGTGTTGCTTCAATGGATGGCTGGTGGAGCGTGAAAGGGGACGGTTTTTACAAAAATCGATACATGGAGCTTTGAGGAACAGCACAGGAACATTCGGCCCCAAAAGTCCTGCATTTCCTCTGGGCTTTAATGGCTTATCGGATGAGAAAGACCCGGTCTCAACTGAGACGCCAGGCCTTTCCCCCTCCGCCTCTTGTTTCATTTCTTGAGACGGACTGAATGTCTAGAATTGAACATTTAATTGATTTTAATTTAAACGTTTACATTAATAGTGAGTTCATATGTGTGTTTATTACCTCAGTCAAGAATATTATTTTTTTTAATGCGTGTTTCCTCGTTAGTACAGCATCTCAATGTCTTGTTTACATGTTTCTGGTAAAAAAAAAAGTTCAGCCATGGGCCAAGGTCCAAGGGATTCATTATTGGTTCAGATCCAGGAATATTTAAAAGTTATTAAGAAATATGTAAAAATATTCGTGCAAGCATTTTGAGGCAGAACATGATCCAGAATTTCCAGGGTCACTAACTAACCTTTAACAATCGAAATAATACTTATAGAAGATTGTGCAGCCTTGTGTGTGTGTGTGTGTGTGTGTGTGTGTGTGTGTGTGTGTGTGTGTGTGTGTGTGTGTGTGTGTGTGTGTGTGTGTGTGTGTGTGTGTGTGTGTGTGTGTGTGTGTGTGTGTGTGTGTGTTTTGTGAACCTCCTGAGAAGCATGTGGATCTACTGAGGGGGTGTTTAGGTAGCCAGATTCTTGCTGTGCGTCATATGGGCCCTCATGGGAACCAGGTCTTGGCAGGAACAGAAGACACCAGTGGCCTGCACTGTGAAGCCCACAGCCAAAGATAAAAGGACAGATTTGCCTTTTTGAACATACAATATGGCGCGTATATTTGTCTGGGTACTAATGGCAGACAGCAGGTTTGTTTGTGGAAAGCCTGAAAGCCTTTGTGGATGTGTTTCGGTTCACTTGCTTCTACAAAACGAGGCCGTACAGTATACTCCAATAAAGCATCCTGCTCCCTTCATGCATCCCTCCACTGACCAACTTTTAATTAAGTCACGCAACAGCTTCCTGGTGCCTTTTTGGAGCAGCAAGAAAAGGGTTAAAAACACCTCGGATTAAAGTATTCGCCGTTCACTGCTGCTCATGATTGATGTTAATATTGAAACTATAGGCGATGGGAAGTCACCCGTCTACGGTGTCCCTCAGGGGCCATAAAGCACTGAGCTGCTGCCTGAGCACAATATACAGTGTGTAAAGTAAAAGTAAAGTGTACAGTAAATCTCCTGCTGCATTTGTTACTGAATTATGATTGGTGGAAAAGGGGTAGTTTGTGGCTTTAGATGATGCTAATGTAAAATAAATCACTCCCTCGTTCCCACTTCCACTCACTGCATCGTGTCCTGCTGATTTATTTTATTATTTCATGTATAGCATGTATTTTTCAGACTTTGTCTCTAATCTTTGTTTGTCTGGATCGTTTACCTCTTTAGGCATCTACAAAGTATTCAGTCACTGCTCACAGCTCACAGACATGCAACCTGTAGGTAGATATTGCATCATATTAAGAGGTGACAAGCAGAAATTGGCTGGTAACCACCAGGCTAAGCTATTTATCAAGCTCAAATTGCCAAAAAACTTTCTGGTTCCAGCTTCTCAAATGAGAGGATTTTCAGTTTTTTTCTGTTTTACATAATTGCAAACTGAATATCTTTAGTTTCTGGGCTGTCAGTTAGACAAAAACAAGCCACTCAAGCAACCAAGACATCACTTTTTCTCTGTCCACTGACACTTTATAGACAGAACAGTTATTTGTTAAACAGTATATAATGGAGATGAATAAATATTGAAAGTAACCCCTAGTTGCAGCCCTGATTATGATTCATGCCTGTGGTGCTTGAACTGAAAAGTCAGGTGAAGTGGTAGTAGTAGAAGAGGAAACATTAGATCAGGATTCAGAGGGTTCAAGTAGCAGGAAACTATTTTTGTTTCGGTTGTGCTTTGGTTGAGTTTTGTTATTTTACAGTAGAAGACAGTGAGATCTCCCTCTGTGTCTGTATCTCGTATGTTTCACCGTCTCCATCTTTAGGAGATATTTTTTCATGGGAAGCAACATTGCAGCTGATTAATTGCATCTTCCATAGTTCCCAACATGTGAGTGTAGTAACACCAATCAGACACACAATTATCAGCCCATCAGGAGTAGAAAGCCATGATGGCTGACGAGAATGTGGGAATTTCCTGTTTTGTGTGAAACATATGTGAGTGCCGTGTGAAAACACTTTCCACCTGTTTTTTTTCTGTTTCTGACACGTTTTTAATGGGATGAGATCAGAGGAGATGGTAGCACG